AAAAAAAAAAAAAAAAAAAAACAAAAAACCAAAAAAAAAGTTACCATTGTTTAATACTGTGTTGTTTTGCCTCATTGACTTAATTTTCAATGATTGGTTCTATGACTAAATATAATAGAAAAACAAAGACTTGGTTATATTTTGGTTATTTTCAAAACAGCAATCAAACAAGTATCTAATTCAATTGGTACTTAACTTCATATTTGTGATAGTGTTGCTTAATATTAATACTTAATACTAAAGCATTAAGTTTAAGTTTTCAGGATGGTTCTAAAACCCATCTTAGCAAACTACGTAGTTTGAAACTTTGGACAATGTGAATTAAACAAGACTATCCCATCTTATTAGGACAGAATGAGAACATTAAGCCATATCAAATCAATGTTTATCTCTTCCAGTTACAAGCTAGAAAATATGAAATTTTTTTCTTTCTTTCTTTTTCTTTTTTTTTAGAGGACAGGGTCTGGCTATGTTTAGGCTGGCCTTTTTTTTGTCTTTTTGATACAGGGTCTCCCTATGCAGTTCAGGCTGGCCTTGAGCTCACTTTGTAGCCCAGGCTAGTCTCCAACTCACAACGATCCTCCTGCCTCAGCTTCTCCAGTGCTGGGATTACAGGCATGTGCCACCATGCCCAGGAAGGCTGGCCTTGAACTTGTGGTGATCCTCTCGCCTCAGCCTCTCTAGTGCTGGGACTACAGGTGTGCACCCCCAGGCCTGGCTGGAAAAGTCAACTTTAATGCACAGAGCATCATGGGCAAATTCAAGACAAGGATAACAGAGAACCCAGCCGCGTTAGTGGCACACACCTGTAATCCCTGCTACTTGGGAAGATGAGAGGCCCTGGATTCAGTCCCCAATGCCGAAGAAAGACATAGGAGCTGGGCACAGTGGTCCATGCCTACATTCCCAGCTAGCTGGTGGCCTCAGGCAGAAAGAGCTCCTCGTACAATCCCACTGCTACACGCCAAGTTCCAGTGCTATATGGTGTACAGACATAACTACTAGTAGACACGGAACATGTTCAGTCAAGAACGTTTCAGGAGGCCAAGGCTTCAAACTGGGTTTCATGTACAGGAAGGTTATCCTATTGTTTGATGATGCTGGGTCAACACGAGCCTTCCCTGATTGGGACAATGAATGTTCTTAAAGTTATCAGAACAAGGTATCACAGTACGTTAACATTTAACTTTAATTATAGGAACGCAAGAATGTACACATTTATTGAAACATCACATGATACCCCATTAATACATGGTAGTTATATACTGGTTAAAATTAATTTTCATTTTATTTTATTTTTTGGTACCGGGAATCGAACTCAGGACCTTACGCTAGCTAGGCAGGCGCTTGTGCCACTGCGCTATATCCCCGGCCCCTAATTTTCATTTTAAAAAGGTGCAAGAAAAGGAAATGGGCCAGCTATGCAGAAACACAGAGAAACAGCTACAAACACGTTCTCTATGGCTGCAGTGGCTTTTCGATTCCTTATATACTATCAAACACCTGCATTCCAGCAGTTCCGTAATTCCTTATGACGGTGACCCTCCAGCCCCTCGCTCAGAACACGATGTTATTCAGGAGGCTCACCAGAAGGGGGCATTGGCGCTCTTCAAAGAGGGAGGATGGTGTGAAGGGGACCCGGGCCGGGAACTCAAACGGGCCAAACGCAGGCGCCTTGGACGCCGAGCGGCCGGACAAGCGGCGCTACTCTAGTTTCGAACTCCGAAGCGTGCGCCCCCGGTCGGGGTCCCGGCGGGCTCAGAGAAGACACCAGGCGAAGGGGCCCACGGCGTTCGGCATGCACCCGCCAGATGAGCAGAGGGAAACGGAGAGAACCTGAGGGGCTCGGGGCACGCAGAGAAGCGGCCCTGGGCGAGGGCCTCACACACAACTTACTTTTTCAGCTCCGGAGGGTGAGCTTTGCTCATCTTGTATAACCCGCGGGCTCAGGGATCTTTGAAAGGGAACCAGCGGCCTCCGTCACGCTCCCGCGGTGAGCTCGGCGCTTTACGTCTGACGTCACCACACGTCGCCAGCCAATCGCTCGTGTGTAATAGTTACATTTCACCTCGCGATACTTAGGAGAAGCCAGGGCTTGTGGGAAATCCAGTTTCCGGTTCCGTCACCAGCGAGTGGCCCCGGAGGAGAGGCGGAGCTGCCTCCCTTGCATTTCCTTTGTGCAAACTGGGGGTTAACGGTACAGCGTCTGGGCACTGGGTGAAGCTGGCTAGTCCTTTGTGTTTGTGGATTTTTAAAAATACAGTATATGCATAATGAAAATGAGCTCTGGTGTGGTAGATATATATATATATAATTTATATTTGCATATGTCCGCTCACAAACGTTTTGTTAACTCCCAAATTAATGACCTTTCTGCTCCAGAAGAAAGGGACTGGGCCTAGATCCAGGAATTTGAAGAGCCCTGGAATGTATTTCCAACTGACGATCCTGCGATTCCTGTAATATTGCTTCCAGGACTCCACTTAATGTCCCATTGTCCTTGTATATAAAATGTGAGGCGCAGCATATACGTAATTTCTAATGAGTACTGATTTTCCAAGTCAAGTGCACAAGTATAAGAAAGTGGGCTCCCACTTGTTTCTAGCTGTCATTCAAAATAGGAAAACCCATGGAGTATAGATTATTTAAATCAGAATAGAAGAATTTGCTGACAGTAAGTAGGGGGTGATTCTCCAAAATAAATTCGCAGTGTTCAACGTTGGCTATATGCGTGGGCGTGGTGGTGCAAACTTGTACATTTAGCTAGACCGTTTTATTTATTTATTTATTTTTTTGTACCGGGAATGGAACTCAGGACATTGCGCTTGCCAGACAGGCGCTGCTTGTGCCACTGAGCTATATCCCTGGCCCCTTAGACCCTGTTTTGAAGGTTAAAAAAACAAAAGAGCTGAGCGTGGTGATGGTGGTGGCGGCGCACGCCTGTAATCCCAGGACTGGGGAGGCTGAGGCAGGAGGATTGTTGTGAGCACAAGGCCAGCCTGAACTGCACGGTGAGACCCTGTCTCAAAAAGACAAAACACAAAACCAAATCAAAGGGAAATATGGGCCTGGGGATGTAGCTCTGCATAAGGCCCTTGGCTCAATCCCCAGTACTGTCAAAAAAACCCCAAAACCAAAAACAGAAGAAAAATCTCTAGGTATCAGCGATAATGAGCAAACACATCCATTTTGTATTCCTTTCTTGCTGAAGATCCTAGAGGCTGAATTTTTCTCTAAAGCGGCCACACTTCTGACACTTCTGTTTTGTTGCAACTAGAAACTTTGGATACTGAGTTTAGTTTTAGCTTCATAGTTTATTTACTTTTTTTTTTTTGAGAAAGGGTCTTATGTGTATGTAGTCCAGGCTGGCCTTGAACCCAGGATCTTCCTGCCTCAGCCTCCTCAGTGCTGGGATTACAGGCAAGCGTGAGCATACCCACTTGTGAGTTTCTTTAGTCTGAGACAGGGTAGTTCAGACTTTGTAGTTCAGACTGGTCTTGAACTATGTAGCCCAGGCTGGCCTTGAATTCATGGCAGTCCTCCTGCCTCAGCTTTCTGAGTGCTGGGATTACAGGTGTTCATCACCATGCTCAGCTGAGCTTCTTTTGTACATTACTGAACTTCAAGTCATAATACCCTACCCTTCCCTCAGTGCTCCCTATTTTAACAATCTAGTCCCGCATGTGAACTATAACATAACGAATTCCCACTCTTCTGGACATCTTCAGTTAATTGTAAACATAAAAAGAGATGGTACTGAGATGATTCACTACCCAAACAAAAGAAATACAATAGTGAGGAGACAATGAAATTTTTATTGTGAGACCAAACCACAAGGAAAATATATCACAGCCTTGATACAGCAACAGAGGCTGTATTACCATTTCAAGTAATAAACTGGTAAAAAGGTAACACATCCCTTATCAAAAGATAAGATGCCATGCTGGGGCCAGAACAAGGCCCCAGGCAAAAATGGATTTCGTAAAGGAGTCACAGCTCAAACTGCTTAATTTTTGACCTTGTTGCCAGGGGATTATCTCAGTAAGGCGCTGTTAATTCAGGAGGCTAAGAAAATAATGCTGGGTTTAGGCTTTTGTTCCATCTGTTCTATAAAAACCATTTTCTTCAAGTTCAATAGTTCACAAAACTCTTCACTAGCCAAGAGTTCCCATTTCGCTGATTATTAGACTCAAAACCCTTTAACCTGCAGGGGGAAAGTGTCACTGCAAGATTGTACTGGTAACTGCGCAAAAAGCCCGAGGGCCCATCAGCCAGTAAAGGAAGCGCTGCTTTCCACATAGCGTGTGACACTGACTCTCATTTTTGCAATTGTCTCCAGGTTGAAAGACACAGTGTAAGAATTTCAAGACATGCACACCCATGTCTTTTTTTGTTTGTTTGTTTTTTTTCTGGTACTAGGAATTGAACTCACGACCTTGCGCTTGCCAGGCAGGCGCTGTGCCGCTGAGCTAAATCCCCAGCCCCCACACCCATGTCTTGATGGCTAGGAAAGGATATACACAAAGAACCTCTCAAGAGTTCTTATCCATCTCCCTCTCATTTTAAATCCACTTCATGCCCTTGCATATAAAAAAAACAAGCAAAATGAAGCTATCCCCACCCGTCTTGCTATGCAGTACAGGCTGGCTTTGAATTTACTATGTAGTCCAGGCTGGCCTTGAACTCATGGCAATCCTCTTGCCTCAGCCTCCCAAATGTTGGGATTACAGGCATGTAAATTAGTTATCTGAATTTTGTTTTATGGCTTATACAAAATAATGTGGTGATACTTCTGGTAAACAGGAGGCTGGCTACAGAGCCACCTCTCCTGCAGCTCCGCCAGGTCACAGGCAGCTTGGAGGAACCTGCCAGCCTGCTAGTATCCGTGCATTAAGAGGACTCTGGTACCTTGGAGGGTTCTCAGTTGGTACGAGGGAGAGCGCTACTGCCAGGATAAGGTCTTGCTACATGACATTTAGGCTCTAAAACACTGTCTTATGCTATCTTTGACCCAAACTTTAGCACCAGTTTTTTTTTTTTCCATTTCACTTTCTAGCATCCAAACATAGAGGAACCAGGGTCCAGAGGCAAGTGAAATATGTCTTAAACTTGCTGTTATCCTTAGTTTCTTCATTCATGTATTTTACTTAAAAGACTAAGATTGCCATTCTTTTTAAATAGATTCCTGCCCTCAGCCACTGGCAAAGGCTTTATTTCGCAATAGATGAGAGAGACGCCTTCATCCTCTTGGTCATCGTTGGAATGAGGTTCATGTGTTCATCTACACACTTGGCCACACAACTGTCCAGCTGCTGTTTCACCTGAGGCTCCTTATTCCCTGCATCCATCGAATCTTTGGCTTTGTCGTTGCAATGCATTGTGCACCGGGCCAGGCGGTCCTGTGGCAAGAAGTGGGGAAGAGAAGGCTGAGAGGCTGGCTCTGCTCCCTGGGTGCTGACTGTGCACCAGGCCTCGGGCTACAGGCTTGATGTCTATTACCTTGTTCAGCTAAAGTGACGCAGAGCGCAAGGTTATCTTGGCTGACATGGAAGGGAGAGCTCAGAGAAACCATTGCTAAGCAGGGGGGTGAGCAAATAAACTGTACAGAACACTGGTCGCTAGGGAGAGGTTACTAAAGGTTACTGTCAGGCTTAGAGACACCTCCATTCCTTTGTGTTCTTTTGTAGTAGTGGGGACTGAATCCAGGGAGCAATGAGCTACATTCCCAGCCATTTTTTATTCTGAAACAGGGTTTTGCTAAGTTTGCTGAGCCAGGCCTCAAACTTGGGATCCTCCTGCTTCAGCTTCCCGAGTAGTTGGGATTACAGGTGCACACCACTATGCTTAGGCCTATCTTGATTCTTTAATGTCTGTTCTTGCTTCACAGAAACAGTTTAATTCAAATACAGTATATGTTGAGCATCTACTATGTGCCAGTCTTCTAATGTTCTGAATATGGCAATAAGTAAAACAGATAAAGTTCTTGCCTTCATAGGACTTACATTTCAGTGCAGGGATAAAATAAGTACCCGGAGAGGTTGAAGAAACAACTGGATATATAAATCTTGAATTTAGGAATAGGGTCTGGCCCAGAGATATGAATGTAAGAGTTGTCAGCATACGGATGATATGTATAGCTATGAAGAGATAAGCCCAAGCACAGCCTGCACCCTCCAGTGCTCAGATGCCGGAGAGAGGAAGAGTCAGCAAAGGAAGCCAAGAAAGACCGGCCAGCCAGGTGTGGTGGTGCACACCTGTAATCCTAGTGCTCTGGGAGGTGAGGGCAAGAGGATTTAGGATTCAGGATTGAGTTTGAGCCCAGGCTGGGCACTTAGTGAGTAAAAACAAAACAAAACAAAACAAACCAGCTGGGGACATTGTGCAGTGCAAAGGCCCTAGGTTCAATCTCCAGTATGGAGGGGGGGAAAAAAAGAGGAGCCAGAGAGGGAGATGGAAAAGCAGGGGTGTTCTGGTGGCAAAATGAAGAATAAAGTGACTCAAGGAGAAGATGCAGACAGATTAAGGTGAGGCCTGACCACTGACCAACAGCCCATGGAGGTACACTCACAACTACAAGACCCCACGGCACAGTGCAAGAGTGAAAGTCTGCCTGGAACAGACTGCAAAGAGAATGGAAGGAGAAAGTTGTAAGCCAAGAGTCAAGTTTTCAGAGACCCCATCCATAAAATTAGATGTCAGTGTGAACACAAACAGACCCTTTGGAGTTTCATGACCTTGGAGAAGCTTCTCCTCTATAACTTAGCAGAGTTTTGTATAGTGGAATGTAAAAATGTCCATTTTAGGGATAATGTTTTCATGCGAGTAGAATCTCAGGCTATGAAAGACTGGTTCAGAAGAGGGCACTTCTTTCAAATTCCACAGAAGTACACTTACAGCAGTGGTGCAAACCTATGACAAGCACATTACTTGTTTTTAAGACAAAAGATATTAATGCATGAGTTGTTTTTTTTCTAAACTGAAACCTCCATATTCAAGTTTAATTGCAGTGTTAGCACTTGGAGATAAATTTTTTTTTTTTATTAAGGACAGGGTCTCGCTATGTGGTAAGCTGGCCTTGAGCTCACTTTGTAGCCCAGCCTGGCCTTGAACTCACAACGATCCTCCTGTCTCAGCCTCCGGAGTGCTGGGATTACAAGTGTGTGCCACCACGCCCGGCTTTTTTTTTTTTAAATGAGAATTAAGCTCAGGTCCTGCTTGCCAGGCAGGTGCTGTGACACTGACCTGTATCCCCAACCCCCAAAGTGCGATTTGGACTGTAGTTGGGATACTCATCTCTAAATGGTTCACCATTCTGACTCAGAGGAAGGGAGTCAAGTGAAGTTATAGATACCTCACCTCTTGTTTCAGAGAGGGAAAAAGGGAGCTCTCAGCGTGTCAGGACACGGACTACTAAACTAACAATGCTTCATCTAAATCACTTCACCTTAGTGGCACAGGAACTGCTCTCTGAGTGTAGCAAGTAGGGACAGTCCTAGGGTGGGTGTATAAACCCACAAAATAATGGTAGGATCTTGCTCTAATCTGTTCCTTTTCTTTGTGGTGTTACTGGGAATGGAACCCAGGGCCTCTGCCCTGAGCTACATCTCCAATCCTTTTTATTTTGAGATGGTCTTGCTAAGCCAAGGTTGCCCAGGCTGAGTAGGAATTTACCATCTTCCTGCCTTAGCAGACCGTTGGATTACAGGCGCATGCCACCACACTCAGCTATGATCTGTACCTTCCTTTTAGACTTTCTTATTCCACTTTCCTGGTGATCCTGCTGTTTTAAAAATGAATTAATAGTCTGGAGATATAGCTCAGTGGCACAGCGCCTGCCTGGCAAGTGCAAGGTCCTGGGTTCGATTCAACAATTAATATGCACTTTAGGAAGTTTTATACTCTACAGTAGACATTGTATTTGGTGCTCAACATGACAAAATAACAAGAAGACGGTATAAAGGCTTTTTTACCCATGAACTTCCCTGGTCACTTACAGGGAACAATTACATCATTGTTTCTGTGGAAGTATATGATTCAACTTAACAGCGCTCAACTTGCAGGACTTCTTCCAGAATTTCAAACCCTGTGTTAGCCACAGGACTGTCACAAATGTTAACAGAACCAAGACCTGAAAGCCAGGAGTCATGAACAAAAGGCGTGTCCTCTCCCGGAGCAGGGCACATCAAGGACTAGAGATCTCTGGCTGAAATATTCCTCACCTGGAACTTTTCCAGCTCATTGGTCACCAAGGCCTGGGCCTGAGCCAGAGGCGCGTGGCAGCGCTCGATGCACTGGTGCACCTGCTGCATGGACGCCTGGCTGTCCTCACAGCAGCTGGCACTGCACCGGAACATAAGGCCCTGGGGAGGAAGCAGGGCAGAGCCTGGTTAGGGAGGAAAGTCTCCGAGGACAAAGATGACCACAAGGGTCAGAGGCCAAGCTTCTATTTGCGTCTCCCTTTCCACCTTTCACCGCTTAAAACAGGGCATCTTAAATCAAGATCGTAACACCACGCCAGGGAAAACTATCTTCTGCGCCTGGGAGTGTTTCAAGGTCTCCTTGCTGAGAGCGCGCCGGCACCCGCGGCGCCTAAGGCTGGGCGAGAGGGCAGGAAGGGGCGGGTCGCATGAAGGCGTGCTCTGAAAGCCCGGAGCCAAGTTCAGAGGCGGCGACCTGGTAATCTGCGCCGCCAGCGGGACGGCCGATCCATTAATCAGTGACTCGAGACTTGAGTTATAAAGGAAGCCCACAATCTAGTGAGGGGAGCAGGAGCAACACCCACAAAACATTTAGGGGATCCCAGCAGAACGGCCCGAGGCGGAGTTGGGGACCGCGGAGGCAGGAAAGACCCGGGGCGCCCGGCCCGCGTGCGGGAGGAGCGAGCGCGGCGGCCGACCGGGGCCTGGCACTCCGATCGTAGGGGGGTCCCGGCTCGGCCCGCCCGCTACCTGCATCTTCCGGATGTTCTCTCTCTCCACACTCTTCACCATGGAGTCCACCGCCTCCTGCACCCGGAGCTGCTGCAGCTCCGCCATAGCGACCCCGCGCTGCGCGACGCCGGCGCCACATGGCTTCGGCGCAGCCCCGCCCTCCGCCGCGGGCCCGCCCCCTTCGCCCGCGCTGCCCCCTGGCGGTCCAGCTGAGCTACTACATGCTCCCCCGCCTGAGCCCCACCATCCCACCTGAGGACTCTCTGGCTTCCTATCTCCCTCTTGTCCTCCCCTCCTTTGCTCCCTCCTCTGTCCCTTCCTTCGAGTTATTAACATATGTTTAATGTAATTAACATACAGATGAATGTCCGGATCGTGGGTGTGCAGCTTGAATTTTTCATAAGCCTTTGTCAGTCCCAGCCCCCCAAGTCCTCTTCCTCTATTCCACAGACCTGTGTCCTGTGGCTGTGGACCGCACTGTCCCATAATAACACATATATTCGCTTCCGTGTCTGGCTTCTTTCACTCAGCACAATGCATTTGAGATTGAACCGTGTTTTTTTAGTTCCTTTTTCTGACTGAACAGTATTCCATTGAATGGACATCATGGCCTAGTCAGAGACCGCTGTGGGGACCAAGGACAAATGCAGCCTTAACCTGTTACTCATTAAAAGCATGCTTTGTGTTTTTGACTGAGGCAGTCAGGGCCTTAAAAGCACTTTGTAGTAAAAACAGGGATTCTTTACTGAGGCCTGTGATGCTCAATAGGGAACTAACAGCAAAACATACTTGACCTTTATTTTGTGAGGCTTTGGGTCAAATCCCTTTTCAGCTCTGCACACAGGCAGGTCAGTGATTTCGGCAAGGCCTGTCTAAAAGAAGGCAAAGTGGTTGATTAGGCCTGAATTTATGTCACCCATCTCATCACCCTTCGTAACCAGGGACACCAAGACAAGGGTTTGCAAGGACATTTGGCTACACCCAGAAGTCTCTTTGCCCTAACCCTGTAGTCACCTTGGATTCCAACAGTCTCCCAAGACTGAGGCCACCCCGCCAGGAAAGAGTCAGCATCATCTTTTGGCAACTGAATTGTCCCTCCAGCCGGCAGGGTTCCTCCAGGGCCTCTTAAGCAATGGTTGACCAGCCACCCTGCGCCCTACGAATGGTAGCTGCTCCTTTGTTGCTGGGCCTTCAGATCGGTGTGGTCAGTTCCTCAGACTGAGGCCCCTTTCCTGTTTTTCTGTTTCCTTTCTTTGCTAGCGGGACAGCTTGATTTTTGCCACAGCTGTGCCACTCCTTCATTCTCTCTTACTCTCCAGTTTTTCTGTGAATTCATGTGGACCGCCCCAGTTTCAGTTTCCCTTATCACTGAAGTAACGACTTGCACTGACTGGTGACAGTATCACATCTTGTTTAGCCAGCCGTCCTCTGTTGGTGAGCATTTTGACTTTTCCAGTTATAATCTGTTATAAATAAAGCAGTGGCTATGAACAGCTTTGAACAAATCTTTGGTAGATACAGGCTTTTAAAAATTCTTCGGTAAATACCCAGAAGTAGAATTGTTGGGTCATGTTTATGCATATGTACCCCCCCCCCCACCGGGAATGGAACTCACAATGCCGTGCTTGCCAGGCAGGCACTGTGCCGCTGAGCTAAATCCCCAGCCCCGTGCATATGTTTCTGATAAAAATTTAGCCTCAGTGCGGGGGCATGGTGGTGCATACCTGTAATCCCAGCGCTCAAGAGGCTGAGGCAGGAGGATCATTGCAAGTCTGAGGCCAGCTGGGGCAACAAAGTGAGCTCAAGTCCAGCCTGAACTGTTTTTTGTCTCAAAAAGACAAAAAACAAACAAATAAATTTAGCCTCAAGGGCAGTGTGGGAGCTAGAGATACCCAGTCAACAACAAAACAAGTCCAGTATATTCCTGCATCATGGGGCTGTTTCTGAACCCCCAGAACAATTCTATCAGTACACTTGACCCTATCTTTTATCTTTCTGAGACAGGGTCTCCCTATGCAGTTCAGGCAGGCCTTGAGCTCACTTTGTAGCCCAGACCAGTCTCAAACTCGCAACAATCCTCCTGCCTCAGCCTCCTGAGTGCTGGGATTACAGCCGTGTGCCACCATTCCTGGCTTCAACCCCCATCTTTATTATGCTATGCATTTGTTTATTGAACACACATTGGGCACTGTGCTAGGTAGAGGCTGTGCTGCAGGGGAGAGGTCAGTGGAGGAGTGGGAGGGGTCAGTTGCAGGCAGTGTTACAAGAGATGTGCTGGAGACAGCCTGCCTGACTGGAAGCGAGCGTGCGGTGGTTTCCGGAAAGCCCTCTCAGGGAGGCAAGGCTTACACTGAATCTTTAAAAGAGCAGGCCATTGCTTAGCCCTTGAGAGTGTAAAGAGAGGGCCAGGCCAGGTGTGGGAGGCTGCCTCGAAGCTTTGGGAACTGCCTGGAGTAGAAAAGGAGACTGGAGGGCCAGCCCTGCAGGAATGGGGGCCTGTTGGCCGCCTGGAAGACTTTGCTGCCATTGGACACTAGATGGCAGGGCAGTGCCGGTGTGAGAGTAGTGGGCAACCTGTCCACCCACGGGCCTCTCAAGAGAGCCATCTTCCATCACCAGGAGTGCTCTCTCTCCTAGTGCCAACAGCTGCCTAGAAACCAGTGTTCAGGGACCAGGACTCTGGTCTACCGCAAGCCAGGTGACAGGCAGCTCTCAGCAGCATTTGGAATCAGTGACACTGCCTGCACCCTACTGGGCTATGTGCTTGAGCTGAGTTATCTCATTAAGTTCTCACAGCAGTCCTCTGAGGTGGGTACTTTTCTCCCACTCAGACAGATAATAGAGGCCTAGAAGTCACTTGCCAACTGTTGCACATTTAGAAGCCGGTGGCCTATAATACCAGCACTTGGGAGGCTGAGGCAGGAGGATAGCTGCAAGTTCAAGATTGGCCTGGGATACAAGTGAGCTCAAGGTCAGCCTGAACTGTATAGCAAGCCTATCTCAAAAAGACAAAAAAGAAAAAAGAAAAAAAAAAAGCTGGTGGAGCAACTCCCCACCCCGATGAGCTGAGACTGCACAAGAAGGAAATCTCACTTGTGACCGACTTACTGTGTGTGCTGATGGCCCCGCGTTCCACAGAAAGTTTCTTTTGTCTTTACCGCACAATCTGAAATTCTTCACTTTCTTTCCTTTTCCTACAGTGTCAGACTGAGTTTTTCCAGTACCTTATATGTACGAGCATCCACTGAATTGCACTAAAATGAGTTTTAAAATTTTTTCAGTCAGATAGCCTTGTTAGTTTGTGTCTACAAAATGAATGATTCTTGGCTATTAGGTCTCTTCAAGGTAGACCAGCCTATGCTGTAGGGTGCATTTCTATTTCTACTTTTTCTTCTCCCCTTTTCCTACTTTCACTTGGCCCAAACTAACTCTGCAGAGCCTATGAAACATTGCCACCATTAAAAAAAACCCCGAAAATGAATGATTTCTCAGTATTTAGGAAAAAAGGATTCTTTCTTTCTTTTTTTTTTGAGACAGAGTCTTGCTGTGTAGTCCAGGCTGATACAGGGCTCTCAATCCCTTTGCCTCAACCTCCTGAGTGCTGGGAGTACAATTGTAAGACACTATCCTTGCTATTTTTTTTTTTGTACCAGAAATCAAACTCTCAACCTCGCGCTTGCCAGGCAGGCACTGTGCCACTGAGCTATCTCCCTGGCCCTTATATTGGCTATGGAAAAGGATTCCTGACTTCCACTTTGTTCTAGAAGCAAAATCTTTGTTAAAGAGGCTTTGACTTGGAGGTTATGTAGAAATGAATTTTTTTTTCTTTTCTTTTGTTTCCTCATTTTTTGAGACAGGGTCTTGCTGTGTAGCCCAGGCTGCCCTGGAACTCACACTCCTGCCTCTGCCTCTTGAGTGCTGGGGTGACAGGCATGTGACACCATGTCCAGCTTGATCTTCTTTTTCTTTTTCTTCCCCTGGGTACCGGGAATCGAACTCACAACCTTGCGCTTGCCAGGCAGGCGCCGTGCTGCTGAGCTAAATCCCCAGCCCCCCGGCGTGATCTTCTTAATTTTCAAACATATGGGTAATTTTTAGGTAATTTTGGTGACTGCATTATGGTCAGCAAACAGACTTCATATAATTTCAGTCTTTTGATTTGCTGAAACTCCCTTTATGGTACCAAAGAAGACTTTTCTGTCAGGCCCACTCCTGCTCTATCTGCTTGTCTGTCATAAATTTTCTGTTTTTTTTCTGTCTTTTTGAGACAAGGTCTTGCTATGCAGTTCAGGCTGGCCTTGAGCTCACTTTGTAGCCCAGGCTGGTCTCGAGCTCACAACGATCCTCCTGCCTCAGCCTCCCAAGTAGTGGGATTGCAGGCGTGCGCCACCACGCCCGGCTTCTGTCATAAATTTTCTTAACATCCTGTACTGTTTTGCGACCGTGCCCACCAACAGTACGTATATTACTGGTCCCACTTTTTGGCCGGATTATACATTCCTGGGGACAGGGGCCATATCTGTTCTTCTCACTGCTCCTCTCCATTTCTCAGTGGCTGGCACATCCCCTTCAGCAAGCTTGTTTAATGCATGAATAAATTAATTTCACTTTAAATTAATTAATCGGATTACTAAAATATTTGGAAACTAGAGAAAAGGAGCAACAAACAGAAATGTACACTGGGTGCAGTAGCCCATGCCTGTAATCCCAGCTACTCGGAAGGCTGAGGCATCACAAGTTTGAGGCCGGCCTGGGCAACTCAGGTAGAACCTGTCTTCTTAAGAAAAAGTAAGTCCATAGTATTACCCTACTTTTTTTTTGTGGTGTTGAGTATGAAACCCAGGGCCTCATGCATGCGGGGGAAGTGCTCTGCCACTACCCTACATCCTTAACTATGTGAAAGTTGCTTTACTGCTAGCATTTTGATTTTTCTTTCTGTCTCACATAAAAAATATTGTTTCTCATATATCATCAGAAACTAAGCAGGCCAGGGCTTATAGCGTTGCTTCATGACTCTTTTCTAGTTGTTCTGCTGTTCCCAGGGGAGCGTACCTATAGTACTGATTTATGTTGCTAAGTACCGCACTAATAAAATACACGTTTGTATATCTTACTTTTACATCTATAAGTGTTTCTATGTCATTATGCACAAGTAAAGAAA